TAAAAATCCTCAAAAATATCCCAAAAAATCCCAAAAAATCCACAAAAAAAATCTCAAAAAAATCCCCAAAAAATCCCCAAAAAATCCCGAAAATACTCCCAAAAAATCCTTTAAAAAATCTTGAAAAATCACCAAAAAATCCCAAAAAATCCCAAAAAATCCCCAAAAAATCCCCCAAAAAATCTGTAAAAATCCTCAAAAATATCCCATAAAATCCCTAAAAAATCCCCAAAAAATCCCGAACATAATCCCAAAAAATCCTTTAAAAAATCTTGAAAAATCCCCAAAAAATCCCGAAAAAAATCCAAAAAATCCCCAAAAAATCCCAAAAAATCTCAAAAAAATCCCCAAAAAAATCCCCCAAAAATCCCGAAAATAATCCCAAAAAACCCTTTTAAAAAATCTTGAAAAATCACCAAAAAATCCCCAAGAAATCCGAAAAAAATCCCCAAGAAATCCCGAAAAAAATCCCTAAAAAATCCCCTAAAAATCCCAAAAAATCCCCCAAAAATCCCCCAAAAATCCCAATAAATCCCAAATTTCATTCCCATTTTTTTTTTCCCAATCAAATAATTTTTCAATTCACCTTTCGGGGCAGAGTTTGTGCCTGTTGCCGTGGCGGTCGATGAAAAAAATCCCCAAAAAATCCCCAAAAAATCCCCCAAAATCTCAAAAAATCCTAAAAAAAATCCCTAAAAAATTCCTAAAAAATCTGTAGAAATCCTCAAAAAAAATCCCCAAAAATCCAAAAATAATGCAAAAAAAATCCGCAAAAAAATAATCCCAAAAAACCCGTAAAAGATCTTTAAAAATCTCCAAAAAAATCCCAAAAAATCCCGAAAAAAACCTCAAAAAATCCCGAAAAAAACTCCAAAAAAATCCCCAAAAAATCTCCCAAAAAATCCCTAAATATCCCCAAAAAATCCATTAAAAATCCCTTTAAAATATCAAAAAAATCCCTAAAAAAAATCCCTAAAAATCTGTAATATTCTGCAAAAAAAATCCCTAAAAAAATCCAAAAAAATCCCAAAAAATCCCCAAAAAATCCTAAAAAAATCCCAAAAAATCCCTAAAAATCCCAAATTTCCTTCCCAACCCCAAACCCCATTTTTTTCCCAATCAAATAATTTTCACTTCACCTTTCGGGGCAGAGTTTGTGTCTGTTTCCGTGGCGGTCGATGAAGGTGCTGAGGATTTCGAGGACGAAAATGGGGATTTGGGGCTCGCGCAGGAGCGCGGCCGAAAGGAGGCGCTCGAGGAAAGCTCCGGGCAGGGCGGTCCCGAGGCTGCTGCTCCGCAATGAGGAGGAAACCTGAGAATTCCCAAAAAAAATCGGGAATTTTGGGATTCCTGAAAATCCACGGGGTGGGAAAGGGAAGTGGGGAAAAAATGGCGGAGATTTAGGGGGGGGAATGGAGGAGTTTTGGGGGAAAATGGGGTTTTTTTGGAGAAAAATGGGATTTTTTTTGGAGAAAAATTAAATTTTTTTGAGAGAAATCAACATTTTTTGGGGGGAGAAATTGACTTTTTTGGGGGGGAAATATCAGCTTTTTTTGGAAAAGAAAAATCAACATTTTTTGGGGAAAAATCAACTATTTTTTTGGAAAAAATCAAACTTTTTGGGGAGAAAAATCAACTTTTTTTGGAGAAAAATCAACTTTTTTGGAGAAAAATCAACTTTTTTTGAGAAAAAAAAATCAGCATTTTTTGGAGAAAAATCAAGATTTTTTTTGGAAAAAAATCAGCATTTTTTGGGAGAAAAATGAACATTTTTGGGGGAAAAATCAAGATTTTTTTTTGGAAAAAAATCAGCATTTTTTGGGAGAAAAATCAACATTTTTTGGAGAAAAATCAATTTTTTTTTTGGAAAAAATCAAATTCTTTGGGAAAAAAAATTGACTTTTGTGGGGGGGAAATATCAGCTTTTTTTGGGGAAAAAAAATCAATTTTTTTGGAGAAAAATCAACTTTTTTTTTGGAAAAAAATCAAATTTTTTTGCGAAAAATCGACATTTTTTGGTGAAAAGTCAACTTTTTTTTTGGAGAAATATCAAGATTTTTTTGAGAAAAAAAATCAGCATTTTTTGGAGGAAAATCAACTTTTTATGGGAAAAAACGATTTTTTGGGGGAGAAAAATCAACATTTTTAGGATAAAAAATCAGCATTTTTCAGGAGGAAAATCAACATTTTTTGGGAAAAAATCAGCATTTTTTAGAAAAAAAAATCAACATTTTTTGGAAAAAAATCAGCATTTTTTGGGAGAAAATCAACATTTTTTTGGAGAAAAATCAATTTTTTTTTGGGAAAAAAATTAAATTTTTTGGGAAAAAAATCGACTTTCTTGGGGGGGAAATATCAGCTTTTTTTGGGAGAAAATCAACATTTTTTTGGGGAAAAATCAACTTTTTTTTTGGAGAAAAATCAAGATTTTTTTTGAAAAAAATCAGCATTTTTTGGGAGAAAAATCAACATTTTTTTTGGAGGAAAATCAACTTTTTTGGGGGGAAAAAAATCAAATTTTTTGGGGAAAAAATCGACATTTTTGGGGGGAAATATCAGCTTTTTTTGGGAAAAAAAATCAGTTTTTTTGGAGAAAAATCAACTTTTTTTTTTAAAAAAATCAATTTTTTTGGAGAAAAATCAACATTTTTTGGGAGAAAAAAAATCAGCATTTTTTGGAGAAAAATATAGATTTTTTTTGGAAAAAAATCAGCATTTTTTGGGAGAAAAATGAACATTTTTGGGGGAAAAATCAATTTTTTTTTTGGAAAAAAATCAGCATTTTTTGGAGAAAAATCAATTTTTTTTTTGGAAAAAATTCCAATTTTTTGGGGGAGAAAAATCGACATTTTTGGGGGAAAATATCAGCTTTTTTGGGGGGAAAAAAATCAAAGTTTTTGGGGTGAAAAATCAACATTTTTTGGTGAAAAGTCAACTTTTTTTTTGGAAAAAATCAATTTTTTTTGGAGAAAAATCAATATTTTTGGGGGGAAAAAAAATCAGCATTTTCTGGGAGAAAATCAACATTTTTGGGAGAAAAATCAATTTTTTTTTTGGAAAAAAATCAAATTTTTTGGGAGAAAAATTGACTTTTTTGGGGGGGAAATATCAGCTTTTTGGGGGGAAAAAATCAGCATTTTTTGGAAAAAAATCAGCATTTTTGGGGTGAAAAATCAACATTTTTGGGTGAAAAATCAACTTTTTTTAGGGAAAAAAATCAGCATTTTTAGGGTAAAAAATCAGCTTTTTTGGGGAAAAAAATCGACTTTTTTGGCAGAAATAGCAACTTTTTTTTTGGAAAAAAATCAACTTTTTTGGAGACAAAAATCAACATTTTTTGGTGAGAAAAATCAACATTTTTTGGGAAAGAAATCGAATATTTGGGGGGAGAAAAATCCACTTTTTTTGGTGAAAAATCAACATTTTTTGGGG